AAAGACAGAAATCAAGTGCCTAATAGTCCTTTTTACATCTCAAGCAAGCTCTTCTCGTCACATTCAAACCACCTGAACACTTCCCGCAGTCACTTCCTACTCATCATATAGCCATCAAACCACTCATCTAGCCACAAATTCCACTCATAGGGGCACTATCGAACATATAAGTCCAAAAGTACGTGCTCAAACAACCAAAATCCCCGTGCTCAAGCTACAGCAAAAACCCGGTCTCAAGTCCTCCAGACTGGCCCATCATTAGCACACAGAAATCACATCTCGCACCTCATCCATGGAATCACAAGCCGTTGATGCACCGCTGATATCGAGCGCTCACATGCGCACACAAATGTGTGGAAGGGATTCAAAGAGTTACACTTCAAGCTGAATCAATGCCGCACGATAAGGAAAGAAAGATGGGAAGTTTATCCTAAATAGCCTCTTGAAGATAGGTATGGTCGTTATCATTCCGATCCGCAAGACTCTACTAGACACTTGCTCATGACATGTAGAACATATGAACCTAGATCTCTGATACCAACTTGTCACGACCCAAAATTCAACTAGTCGTGATGGCACACAACCCAACCCGCTAGGTAATCCAATTAACAACTATCCAATTCAATGAGATTTATTAAGAGAAGAAATGATAATACAACTACCTTTATACAAAGAATTTCCCAAGGACTAGTAGTACAAATCATGAGCTCTAAGATTTAGATTTTTACAATGACTGAATTGAAATAATTACAACACCTATTTGAAATGTAAATGAACAGAATTCGAATATAATTCTACCAAGGACAACAGATAGCCATAACTGGAACGCAGGTACATCTTTAGATACAGCTCCGCCGTACGCAGCAACATCATCATCCAACATCTGCACGCAAGGTGCAGAAATGTAGTTTGAGTAAATCGACCCCATGTACTCAATAAGTAACAAACTTGACCTTTGGTTGAAAGTAGTGACGAGCTGGAACAAAGGTTGGAGTCCTACACCAATATCCAACAACAGTTCATAACAACATAATAAAAATGGTACAAATAGTTAAGAGGTACGATGCTCAACTCGTTCACAGTTACGGGAAAATGGCATGTTTTTCAAAGATGTCAGTAAAACTCAGTTCTTTTCACCAAATCACCAGAGATATGAGTAAGTCTGAAAACTGCAAGTTTTCCCAAAAATCTTTCAACAATTTCAGATAGCATGAGGAAAGTATATCTCTATACCTACATGTCAATATGCAAGTGAAATTATGAATGTCAACAAAACCGGGTAGCATGAGGAAATGTATCTCCATGCCTGTATCTCAAGTACGCATGTCACATGCAATGCACCTTAGTTATGAACTCATATACTCACACTTTAGAGTACTCAATCTCACTGTCTCGTATTCTCACTCATCATGCTAAATACTCGGCACTCTCAGTCACTCAATACTGTACAGGGTTGATCCAGCCCAATGCAAATGAATCTAGGGAAGATCCAGCCTAATGCAAATAAATCTGTGGCAGATCCAGCCCAAAATCAGTAGCAACTGTGCCACTGTAGATGTGCGGACTCTGGAAGGGCCGATCTAGCCCAAGCGCTATAATAAGCCGAATCCTAGCATGAATCAATAAAGCCTGCTGCGGCGTGCAACCCGATCCCATAAATATCACTCATAACAGGCCCTTGGCCTCACTCAATCATCAACTTCTCCAGTCTCTCGGGCTCACAACACTCATGCTAAGCAGCACTAATCAATGATACGAGATGTGACAATATACGATAACAAAGACTGAGATGTGATGTGTAATGATGAATGCGACTGAGTACATAACTGCAATTAAGCAAATAACTCAACATCAAAGAACGACCACTGTGGGTCCCAATAGTACCAGCATATAGCCTAAACATAATTTCTAGCACATAGAGTACAGTAAAAATATTCATATAAGATAGCTACACAGCTCCATCAAGTCGACTAAATCATAACTTCTACGGTGCACGCTCACACGCCCGTGACCTAGCATGTGCATCAACTCAACATCAATCACATAACACGTAATTCGGGGTATCATACCCTCAACACCAAGTTTAAAAGTGTTACTTACCTCGAATAAGCCAAATCCAACATCGAGCAAGCCAAACGATACTCCAAAAATGCCATCCCTTGCGTAATGACCTTCGAATGGCTCGAAACTAGCCAAAAGCAACTCAAATACATCAAATAATGCCTAAGGAAACAATTCCAAATGATAAAGGTCGAGTCTTTAATCAATAGCCCAAAGTAAACCAAAAGGTCAAACCCAGGCTTGCACCTCGGAACCCGTTAACACTCATAAAATCCGATAACCCATTTAATTACGAGTTCAACCGTACAAGTTTCATTCAAATCTGACCCCGAATCGATGTTCAAAGCTCGAAATTTCACTCTACGAAATTTTAGACAAAATTCCCAATTTTTCTCTTTAAAATTCACAATCCAGTTACCAAAAATGAAGGTAGATTTACAAAATACAACCATAACCCAGTAGAGAACACTTACCCCAAACCATATGGTGAAAATAGCCTCACAAATCACTCCAATCCGAGCTCCATAGCTCCAAATATGCTAAAATTGGCCGAAACCTCCGAAATAGAGTACTTTATAATCACTGGGAGAATTAATGAATCGCGATCACGGAAACACCGTCGTGATCGAGAAGAAGAAGGATGAACTGCCAAAGAAATTACTCTATGCGATCATAGCAAAAGCCACGCGAACGCGGTACACAAGGCTCATAGACTATGCGATCGCTGAAACAAGCCCGCGAATGCAAAGAGAAACCAGCCTCTGCGCAGCTCAGCAATCACTACGCGAACGCGTTGCTCAAACTGCAGCAACCTACGCGAACACATCTGAGGACTCGCGAACGCGATGAACAACTTTCCCCAGCCATCAAACAACTCTACGTGATCCCGATTAACGATACACGATCGCGTACAAGGAAACCAGATGCTCAGCAGAACCAGCAATGCCAAAATGAAGGAAAATGATCTGAATTCGATCTAAAACACGCCCGAGCCCTCCGGGCCACGTCCGAACATCCTAACAAGTCCACATCATAACAAGCACTTACTCGAGGTCTCAAATCACACATAACAACATCAAAACGACGAATCGCACCTCCACTCAAACTTAATGTACATTTTGAATTTTTAACTTCCAAAACCCGCGCCGAAACATATTAGTTCAACCCGGAATGAAACCTAATTTTATATACAAGTCTCAAATGACATAATGAAGCCATTCCAATTCCCGGAATCACAATCCGAATCCGATATCCTCAAAGTCAACTCTCGGTCAAACTTATGAACTTTTCAAACCTTCAAATTTTCAACTTTCGCCAACTTGTGTCGAAACCTTCTAGAAACATCCAAATGCAAATTCGGGCAAATTACCGAGTCCAAAATCACCATACGGTCCTAACAGAACTATCAAAACTCCAATCCGAGGTCGAATACTAAAAGTCAAACTTGGTCAACTCTTCCACCTTAAAGCTTCGGTCATGAAATTCATTCTTCCTAATTGATTCCGAATAACCTGAAAGCCAAAAGCGACGATTCAAACAAGTCATAATATATCATACGGAGCTACTCATACCCTCAAACTACCGAGCAAAGTGCAGATGCTCAAAACGACCGGTCGGGTCGTTACACTTAACCTTGTCAATTTCCGGAGAGAAAGTTTAATTCTTATTTAATTTGGGGTAATTTGAAAATCTTCCAATTTTCAATTTATTGCCCCAAAGTCATAAGATAATTTTTGTAATGGAAAAAATAATTCAACTTTTCCTATATCTGTAGAAAATATAGAATGTCAAAAAATGCTAAATTCGATTCTAGAAGCACAAATAAGCAGCCATATATATAAAATATCATGTAGTAGGGTAATGTCAATAACTCACCTTACATGATATACACATGGTACCATTTAAAAAAATGAAAATAATCTGTCTCCCGACTCAGTTAAAAAATAAATTTTCATGCAGTGCATGGTGAAGACTTTGGGTATTAGGGTGTCTTTAAAAATGATTATATTTAAGTAGTGACATGTGGATATTATATAAAGTGAATTACTGAAATATCTACTTATATATATTTTTTTTTGGATTGAATTCAACAATTTAAATTGTGTTTTATCTATGTAACACACAGGTGAAGTTGAGTTATTTAACTGTATTGATGACCTTATATGTAACCTGATCGTTTAAATATCCTCGTCGTAATACTGAGGATGTTCTAGCTAGGGTACTTAGAATGCATGATAGTGCAAGAAGCGTCGAGTTATTGTTTACTCTCAAAATTATTAACGTCGAACAAACTCTGAAATTAGTATGGCAGAATGGTATAATTATACAACTGGAGCCTTCTTTCTTTCTTAGGCCTCCTTTTTGTTTTATTTATTTAGTGATTCGTAAATCGTGCCTGGGGTGTGTGTGTGTTTTTTACATTTTATGATATATGAAGAAAAGTGAAATAGTGTCAATTATATCTTTGAGTAACAAGTCATAAAAGTTGCAAAAATTAATTTAGTAACTTTACTTTTAAAAATTGATGTCTATATGAGAAATTAAGTCGCGCTTATGACTAGGGAGAGCTAGAGTTCTAGGTATGGGTTCGGTAGAACCCAATAGACAATAACTTTGACCAAAATTTTGTATTTGCGTTAAATTATTCACTCAATAGGTATAAATTTTCTATCCAGAATATAATTGTATAAAGTAAGTATACAAAGTAAAATAAATATTTTAATTGTACATGGTGTTAACTTGTTTTTCAATGGGCATACCGCGTAGAATATCCTTTAACTTTATTGACCTTATAGGTAACCTGATCGTTTAAAAAATCTATGTCTATATGAGAAACTAAGTCACGCTTACGGCAGGCGGGGGGGGGGGGGGGGGGGGGTAGGGTTGTTGTAGGAGTTTTAGGCACGGGATTTGGTANAATCCACCTCTATTTTTGACTGAACACAACAATTACATGTTCAATTAATTGTAGTCCAATCATTTACCTAACGAATAGCCAACAAAAAGAAGAAAAAAGGCCCTACAAAAGCTAATCCATTTGTTACTTTTTTTTATTGAATTATAATTTTTTTTACACTTTTTTTTTTCCATGTTCATTTTGTAAACCTTAGAGTAGACATCCTATTTTATGGACAAGTACAAAAAAGGTGGGAGAACAAATGAACAAAAATAGTAAATTACACTTAACAATATGAATAAATCTTAATTAAGAAGAGGAAGCAGCAGGAGCAGAAGCAGCAGTGGCAGTGCAAACAGGTGGATTTTGTTTGCCTTTTAAACTTGGCTTAATATTCTCACAACTTGATTTTGCTGGCCCTTCTTTTCCACTGTAAGTTATATCAATGTCTCCAACTTCAATACCCTCACAAGGTACACCTTTACTGCAGAGAAGTGACACTGCATCTTGAGTTCTTGATGTTCCCTTTATGTTTTGGAAACTCACTTTACTGATCTTCACTTGTGATGGCAACTGCAAAAGAATGAAGAGTAGTGGTTAGTTTTGCCAAAAAAAAAAAGCAACCTGTGCACAAAGTATCCCGCATTCACGCAGAGTCTGAGGAAGAACCGCACTCCAAGGGGTGTGATGTAGACAGTCTACCCTAATGCAAGCATTAGTGGCTACTTCCACGATTTGAACTCGTGGCCTATAGGTCACACGAAAATAACTTTACAACTGTTCCAAAACTCCCCTTCATAAGAAAAAAAAAAAAAGGGCAGCCCAGTACACAAAGCATTCCGCATTCACGCAGAGTCCGGGGAAGGATCGCACCTCAAGGAGTGTGATACAGACAGCCTACCCTAATGCAAGCATTAGTGGTTGCTTCCACACGTGACCTATATGTCACAAGAAGACAACTTTACCGTTACTCCCGGCTCCCCTTCATTGAAAAAAAAAAAAAAAAACTAGAGTACAGGATACTTACATCTTTGTTGCATTTGTTGAAAGGGCAATAAACTTGATCAATAACAACAGGATTGCTAACATTTTGCACAATAATATCCTCAAAATGAACATCATTAACAACACCAGGATGAGAAGCAGGCCATGTCTTAATTCTAACACCATTATCAGTGTTAGTAAAAGTGCAATTCCTAACAAAAACTCCAACCACTGGTTTTTCATCTGGATTTCCACCTAGACTTCCAACACTAATACCATGTCCAGGTCCACATGTAACTCTAGTAATATAAAGTTGTTCTGTTTCATCACCAACTGAAATACAATCATCTCCTGTAGAAAAATTTGAATCTGTAATATTCACAGAGCTCGATCTCGAGACATGAATTCCATCTGTGTTTGGGCTGTTGGCTGGTGCACTAACGTTGAATCGAATGAATGTTAGGTTCTTGCATTGGTTTACGTTGACATGGAATGATTTGCTGTCCAGTGTTGTTATGTCCTTGATTGTGGAATTTGTGAGGGAGTTGAAACTCAAGTTCTACACCATGGAAAAGTCAAAGATAGAAAAAAAAAAAACTCAAAAGAGTTAGTATAATTATACAAAGGATTTTGCTTATGGAACAATTAGTCAGTTTGGCCAAACTTTGAGAGAAAAAATAGTGTTTTTGAATAGTAGTAGAAGCCGTTTTTTGTTGTTGCGAGGAAAATGATGAAAAAAGGAGCTTCTCTTTTTAGTAGAATTAGAAATAGTTTTTATAATTTTGGAGACAAAACACCCCCGCTAAAATTTATATTTACATATATGACCAAAGTCTTGTAAACTTTCTCTACAGTATAGTCATTCTCAAAATAATAGTTAAAAAGAATAAAAATATTTTGTATATATATATATATATATATATTTTTTATATGTTATATACAAAAAATATATAAATTTTATATAGTTTTGGTCATTTGACAATCAAAATCACCTTTGGAAAGATTGACACCAAACATAGAATGCTTCTCAAGCATAATTTTTCAGACAAACACAAACCGCTATCTTTCAACATACTTTTTTTAGAACTTCGTTTGAATCCTTTTCAAGATAAGCGAATTTTAAAAGCTTGACCAAACAGGCGAAACATCTCAATTAAAAAGATTATATGCAACCATTGCAAATATTGGACTTACATTGGGAAGTTTATTGCATTTTACGGATTTTTTGCATTCCCAAGCAGCTGCAGCTTGACCATCAAGAATACCACCACCAGACATGGTGAACTGATCAAGTTTATTTACAGTTAACCATTCACCAACCTTGAGTTGGCTAGGATCTGAAGGAGCTTTCAAAGTGGCTTGGATTTGAAGTTCAAGTGGGGATTTGCATGGACCTTCTAGTTTTACTTGATTCATTGTGAATGTTCCCTTTGGGATCACAATTGTGCTTGGACTTGTTGATTGACATGCTTCTTTAAAAGCATTCAACAATGCCTAAACAATGTAAAGAAAAAAGATTTTAAAGCACCAAAAAAGAAAAAGAATTATAAAGAACTACAGTTAGTTTTGAAGATATGTAAGGTGGTTTTTTGTTTGTTGTTTTTTTTCTTTTTTAAATAACGGTAAAGTTATTTTTGTGTAACCTATAGGTTACTGGTTCAAGTCGTGGAAGCAACCACTAGTGGTTGCATTAGGGTATATTATCTACATCATAACCCTTGGGTGTGGTCTTTCTCTGGAACCTGCATGAACGTGGTGTGCCTTGGCAGCAGACTGCCCTTTTTATTCTTTTTATACCAATGGTGTCGATTTGGTTAGCTTGTGTGTACTTCAATTATTTCAACGATATCTGCTACATTCCACAAGCACAAGTACTAGATAACTATACCCTCCATAGATTAGGCAAATGGGAAGAAATTAAATCACTTAATATATTTTTCGTATCTGATTTGATGAATGTAACGTTAGTCTTACATGATTTTCACTTGCTTCATTTATCGCTACGCCATACGGCAGAGCACCTGAAACATGTATCTATGATCTAAAGCAATTCTAAACCCCATCCGCCACTCTACAATTTTTCTTTATGTCAAGGGGATATATATGCAAAAGAATTTATTTTCACATTATTTACACGGTATAATTTTCAAATGAAGGAGATACAATTGAATCGCTTTCCGTCCACCTAGCTCCGCCCCTGGCTCGGCCACATGGTTGGTGCTTATATTCTTGGGTGAAAGAAGGTACAATAAGTTACACTACGCAAATGAACCAAATAATGAGAAAAGAATGCATGACTTACCTCACTAATATCTGCATTGCTATTAGCACCATATTTAGTTATATCAAAAACTCCAGTTTGAGATTCCCCAAAGTGTGCTAGAAATAGCAACACCAATGCAAAATGTACCTTGAATTTCAAATCCATCTTTTCTTGCCCCTCCAACCTCTTTTTTTTTTTTTTTTTTTTTTTTTTTTTTTGTTGAAGTTTTTGGGGTAGGTTTTTAACGTTTTCTGAAATGTAAACTGAATACATTGATGCCCTTTTATAGTGTCATCACGACAAATTTGGTACTATACAACAACTTTGTACCTGTTTTATACCGCAGATTGAGTTGCGGAGAAAACGTTGGAAATTAGTTGTTCAATTTTTTTTTATTTTTTTTTTTTAAATTATGGTTTTGGTTTATGTTACTGCATGAAGGTATACTGTTTTTTTTTCTTATTTAAGTAAAAATATTATTTTGTTTTACTAATTAAGAGGTTCACTAAGTCAAAACCATGGGGACAGGAAACTCCATAACAGAAATATAACGCGACTTTTTAGATTTTTTATTACATATATATACAAGTGCACAAATAGCTATTCTCAGGGATGTTATTTAGAGATTAGTCAGTACTTATTTTGTCTTGAATTTTTAAACTAAAAATCTTAACTTCAGGACAATTCAGGATACTTTTGTCTCGAAAAATTGAACGGAAAAATCAAAATTCAGGACGCACTGGCTAATTCCTAAATAACAGTCCTTAAGTGGCTACCTGGTGTCATTACTACAGAAAAGAAGGAAGATTATTTATAGGAATTTTTACCTCCTATAGTAAAGGTTGATACCTTATTTATTTTAAATAAACACCCTTTTAAAAAATTATATTCCATAGCTACCTTTTGATTTTTATAGCCAAATATCTATTTATGGTCACCTCCTACCCTTAAGCCATAAAATATGCTTTCTATTATTTTTCTCTCTCATTCTTTCAGATTTTTCTCCACTCTCTCTCTCTCAACACTTTGTATAATTGCTAACGAGGTTTGGAGCATAAACTTCAGAAGGAATTTTAATGATTGGGAGGTAACGAGGACTGCTCAATTTATTAATTCTGTTGAGCATGAATCTGAAGCTATTAAAAACAAAAGATAGCATTACACGGAGGCCCAGCAGCAAATGAGTGTTCTCTGTGAGTTCTTTTCTTGCTACAAGGATCCGATAAAGGTGGACTATGAAGCCTTGACTAAGGAAACAAATTTGGAGGTCGTTTCGAGTCAGAATCGCGGCCCCTTCGACGAGACGACATTGGAGTTGTTCTTGAATAAAGACGATGGAGTTTGGGGCTGAGCAACTTGAAGATTCAGGGTTTTTGCTCGACGGCGGATTCGCCAGAAATTAGGGTTTGTTCTTGAACAAAGACGACGGAGTTTGGGGCTGAGCAACTTGATTTTTTGTTAATATAATTCAATGTATTTTCAACGTATCATGCTGTATTTTCATGTATTTTATTGTATTCATTATCTTTTTTTTTAATTGTTATTCAATGTATCTCGCTGTATTCCATGTATTTCATTGTATTCACTGTCTTTTTTCATTGCATTTCAATGTATTCCGCTGTATTCTATGTATTGCATTGTATTCACTGTCTCGCTATATGCCATGAATGTATTCATATGTTTTTTTAAATTAATATAATTTATCTATTCAGATGTATTATATAATTTCTCTGAAGATTGCTATCTTTTTGGGGTATTTTTCAGTTGAGAATCTTTTTTATAACTGGAAAACAAAATTTATGTGTTATAATTGAGTTTGTTGAGTTATATTAGGAGTCTATTATGTTAATTGATTCACTTTCCGTTTAAAAACAGTGTAATCCCCTGTTTCACACCGTGAATACAGTCGAATACAATAATCTGTCCAGCTGTAATCCCATGTTTCATGCCATGAATACAGTCGAATACACTCGAATACAACAACTGATTAGCTGGACTTCCCTGATTCGCACCTATTTTTGCTACTGTATTCATGAATACAGTAGCTTAAATACATTTAATACATCTTATAACAAGATAAAACGTATCTACAATCCGTAATATAACAAATGGTATCTATAGATAGCTAATTACCACTAAAAGATAGTGCTTTATGAAAATTTCTCTTATTTATACTCGATCTTTTTTCTTTTTTTGCCTAATAAAAGGAACTTCATATTAAGGACATAAATTTAAAGAGAGTCGTTATATAAAGGGACTAATCTTGAATATTTAGTCCAACAAAGTTCTTTTGGAGGGGTAAATAAGCAAATAAAGGAGGATAGCTCCAAAAAAAACATCTTCAATTTACCATACATGCTTATTACTAAATTGTAAGTTTTGGTCTATAACAATATTATTATTTCAGTTATAGATTGTGTTAACTGGTGAATCTAGAGATAATCGACATTGACAAAGAGATGATCGAACCCTAAGACGTAGCTGTACAGAGAGAGATATTTGAGAGACAATGTGAAGAGTATTATTTCCAAAATGAATTGTTCAAATAATACATTGTAAGAGGTCTCATATGTACACAAATACAATTGGGTCATTCACCTAATGATCCAAAATAAGAATAACATAATTACAGATGGGCTGGCCCATCTTGACTACTTAACACTACTAACTTCAGCTCCAACACCCCCAGCAAGCTGGAAGGGTTGGCCGTTCCAAGCTTGGGAAAAAAAGCCTGTTGTTGCACACCAAGCAAAGATTTAGTGAATATATCAGCAAGTTGAGCAGATGTAGAAATAGAATGCAACGAGACCAAACCAGCAGACAAGGCATCCCGTACAAAATGGCAGTCCACCTTGATATGTTTGGTCCGCTCGTGAAAGACAGGATTCTTGGCTATATGGACTGCAGCTTGATTAGTGCAGTACAAAGCAACAGGTCTGAGATTATCCACACCAAGCTCACCCACCAACCGAACTACCCAAGTAACTTCAACTACCAACAAACGAAGAACTCTATACTCTGCTTCAGCAGAGAACAAAGCAAGAGTAGGCTGCTTTTTGGACTTCCAAGAAACTGGACAGCCTCCACGAAACCGCACAAAACCAGAAACAAACTTTCAACTATCGGCACAACTAGCCTAGTCAGAAGTCACAAAAATCATGCAAAGAAAAATTAGGATTGCAAGAAAGCATAATACCCAAATCAGAGGTGCCAGCCACATATCTAAGAACATGATAAGCAGCCTCCAAATGAGGAACTCTAGGAGCAGACATATACTGACTCAAATATTGTACTGTGTAGGAAAGATCAGGTCTGGTATGTTGCAAGTAATTAAGTTTGCCTACTAATTTTTTGTAGACAGAGGGATTAGGTAGCAAATTCCCAACTAACTGACAACTTGACATGGGAGTCTAAGGGGGCTACCACAGGTGTAACCGCAGAACATTGAATATCAGAGAGCAAATCCAAAGCAAACTTATGTTGACTGATCAAGTATCCTTGAGGCATTTTAACAACCTCAAGTCCAAGGAAATAATGAACCTCACCAAGGTCCTTGATCTTAAACTGAGCATCTAAGAACTCTTTCAAAGCAGTCAACTCAGACACATCATCCCCAACCAACAATATATCATCCACATAAACAGCTACTACAGTGAGATGAGGCTATTTTAATTTTTTGAATAGGGAATAATCATTCATGCTAGGTTGGAAACCCTTAGATTGAAGAGCAAAGGAAAGTGTCTTGAGGCTTGCCTAAGGCCATAAAGGGACTTATTTAATTTGCAAACTAATGAAGAAACATGAACAAAAGTAGAAGTGGAAATAGTCAATCCTTGAGGGATTTTCATGAATACCTCTTCATCCAAATCTCCATGGAGGAAAGCATTTTTGACATCAAGTTGGTACATAACCCAATTCCTTTTAATGGCTACAGATAGGAGACATTTTATAGTTGTCAATTTAACCACAGGAGAGAAAGTTTCACTGAAGTCTACCCCTTCTAACTGATTATCACGCCTAATCACCAACCTAGCTTTGTATCTTTCAACTGAACCATCAGCCCTCTGTTTTATCTTATAGACCCATTTGCAAGGTATGGATTTCTTACCAGGAGGTAGAGGAAGAATATTCCAAGTATTGTTGGCCTCCAAAGCTCGAAACTCTTTCATCATAGCCTCATGCCAAGCAGGATTGGAGGCAGCTTGATGGTAAAATTGTGGTTCTTGCAAGCAAAGATCAGAGGGTGAAGGAACCATAAAGCTAGAGGCAGAGGAACAAACATATTCACCAAGGTAGGAAGGAGGATTGTGAGTTCTTAAAAACCTTTTTCGGATATGAAAAAGAACGGGAGAAGGAGAGGAAGGACAAAGAGTACTAATAGGCAAAGAAGAAGGATCAAAAGAACTAGGAGTAGAACAACTATGGCCAGGATGACGAACGGGACTGGGAGAGGAAGAAGGGACTGAAAAGGGGGAGAAAGCAGAAGGAGGAAATAAATGAGTAGAATCAGAAGAAGAGTAAGGAAAGACAGTTTCATGAAAGACAACATCCCTGGAGTGGAAAATACTGGAATTGGACAATGACAGTAGTTTATAACTCTTTTTCCCAGCACTTTAACTAAGAAAAATAGATGGAATGGATCTTGATTTGAATTTATCTCTATATGGTTTGGGGACTGCAGCAAAGCAAAGGCAACCACATATCCTAAAGTGGGTGACAGAAGGAGCAGTACCATAGAGTAACTCAAAATGAGTCTTGTTATTTAACAAAGGTGAGAATTTATGAGGTAAGTGGCAGTCAAGATACACTCACCCCAATACATAACAGGGAGTTTGGACTGAAATAGAAGTGCCCTGAAATTTTGAAGAAGGTGTTTATGTTTTCTCTCCACAACACCATTTTGTTGTGGTGTATGTGGACATGGGGTTTGGTGTAGAACCCAGGTCAAAGGCATTATCAGACCTCGCTACTTTGACCAAGGCATCAAATTGAGTCTTGATCATTAGCACAAAGGACTGTAACAAGGTGAAAACACTGCTCTTGGAAGATAGTAAAAGTGTCCAGGTAGCCCTAGAGAAATCATCCACAATAGTCATAAAGTATTTGAACCCATTATATGTTTGTTAGTTTATATGAGTCCACCAAACTATAGAGTACCTGGTCCTATATGAGATGATGCTGAGAATTATAAAGACTGGAAGTGAAGAAGACAAGGGATTTTTACTTGGAAAAATCCCACACAAGGGGATCAA